TATATATATATATATATATATATATATATATATATATATATTTAAGTCAGGGGATGCCCGGTGGTGATGATGCTCAACATTAATCCAGCACTCAGGAGGCAGAGGCAGGTGGGTGTCTGAGTTTGAGGCCAGCCTAGTTTACAAAGTAAGTTCCAAGACAGCCAAGGCTACACCCAGAGAAATCCTGTCTGAAAAAAACAAAAGGCAAGAAAGAGAGCGAGCGAGAAAGAGGGAGAAAAAGGGAGAAGGAAGGAAAAGAAAGACAAAGGAAGGGAAGGAGAGAGAAAGAGACAGACGGAGAGAGAGTGAGTCAGGGGAGAGATGGCTCCTCAGTCAATAGCACTTGCTGCCCTTTCAGCCACCCAAGTTCAGTTCTCAGCACCGACATGGTGGTCTTGGAACCCTGTAACCCGTTTCAGATGATCTGATGCCCTCTTCTGGACTCCATAACCATTAAACACATGTGACTCACAAACATACTTCAGATAAAATACTTATACATACCAAATAAAAGCAAATAGCTGATCTTTTGTTTGTTTGTTTGTTTGCATGGTCTTAGAGCCCTTCACATTCTGTACCCAGATACTGACTTGCTCTCTCCTCCCCAGCACCAAGCCCAGCTCATCTTGAGCTTCTGCACATGCTCTCTGCCCAGACTTTCTGATCTTGCTTTTCCTCTTCCCAGCAGCTCTTCAGAAGTTTTCTTCCAGAAACTTCTGGGGTGCTCTCCTTTAACTCCTTTGGCTCCTGCTCGGATTGATGTCACCTGCTGAATAGGCCTTGCTCCACTGTTCTTGTCTCAATTAGGGACCCTTGCCCTCTGACAGGCCACACATTCCCCTAGTGTACTACCCGTCTCTACCCCACCCGACCCCACCCCCGCCATACACACACTTAGCTGGATCCCACACCAGGGACCTCTTATCCTCCCCGCCCCCACCCCTGCTCCCAAACTCTGCCAAGGCACAGTAGGGCCACACAGAAGCCTGCACTCACACAGCGGATCCCGTCACAGAGCTGTGCCTGCCCCCAGAGGGCAGCCCTCACCACCTACATGGACGACCAGTTTTGCCTCCAGCTCCTACTCTCTTTCTCACAGGAAGTAGCCAGCCCGATGCCAAGGTATCCCCAACTACATCCCCCAAATCATCAGACACTGCCAGCCTCCAGCTGTCAGCCTGCCCCCCCGGCTGGCGGGCGCCTGCTCCTGGCATAGCGGCGGAGGTGTAATTAGAAACCCGCTAGCTCCCTAATTGCCAGTTCTGAGCCATCCCTGTTACCGGCTGCCTGAGGCACACATAGAGGGAAGGGCTGAGTGCTGAGCCAGGCTGGCACGGAGGGAGACCTAGAGAGGACTGGCATGTGGCCAGAGACCAAACGTGGCACAGAGAGGGCTCAGTGCAATCTGCCCTGTGGCTGCCTCCCAGCCACATCCACTTGCCCAGAACTGTGACGTCAAACCAGCCCAGCACGTTCATTCTTTATTCAGGTGGCATAAAAATCACTACAAAAACTTTACAAAAGAGTCTTGGGAGCTAAAGGGACCCTTCCCTGCCTCGGCCCCTGAGCTTCCTGGCAGAGGAGGACAAGAGAGAGGAAGGGAGAGGGCTCCAGGCAGTGCTGGCATCTCCAAAGACCAGAGAGGTGACTTGGGTGTCATGACGGGGGGGGGGGGGGG